GTGTGTGTGTGTGTGTGTGTGTAGTGTGTGTGTGTGTGTGTGTGTGTGTGTCTGTGTCTGTGTGTGTGTCTGTGTATTATGAATATCTCGCATACTTATGCATATCCACACCTTTGCCCCTGTTTCGGTCGGATGGGCTGGTCCAGTTGAGCGCAGAGTGGGATAAGCATCTGCACTCCTCCCACTGCCTTAAGACAGTCATCCAGTGACGCCATGGCCACAGGCGTAGTCCCATTCATGAGCGTAGCATGTGGAACGGTCTGTACAGCATATGGATGAGTATAGGGCGTTTTAGCATAGAAAAAGAGTGGGTTGGCTGATACAGGCGTTTAGTATATAGTACTAGTATTTTGCCTCTGATTAGGTGGGTTGGTGTAGCAATTTAGTGTATTGGCCCCAAATGAAAGAGTTCGGTACATGATATATGAGCGTGTTGCCCCGGATTGAGCGGTTTAGTACCGAACATGCGAGTGTAATCTCGGATGGAGTCGATAGCACAGATCATTGGTGTATTGGCCCGGATTGAGTTGATTAGTATTGGCTATCAGTGTATAACCCCGATATATTTTCTGTAGAATGGTTGTGAATTCATGCACACTAGCACAAACTATACTGTGAGTACGATGAAAAGAACAACACTCCGTATATTAATAGAACCCATGGGTATCAAAGTGCACCGACTAAAGATATCTGATTAAAGTTCACCAACTAAATATAACTAGTTGCCATAAGCACAAGCAATTGAGGCACCTCGCACCGACTATACCGTGAGCAATATAAAACTCGAATACTTTGTATGATTATACAACCCATGGGTATCAAAGTTCACCGACGAAAAGAAAACTAATTAAACTCCACCAACTAAATATAACTAATTGCCAGAAGCACAAGCAATTAAGGCACCTGGCACAAACTATACCGTGAGAAATACAAAACTCGAATACTTTGTATATTTATACAACCCATGGGTATTAAAGTTCACCGACTACAAGAAATCTAATTGCCATAAGCACAAGCACTTGAGGCGGTATATATATACCCTTACACAAACAGGACCGTGTATTCATACAGAAATCTCGATAATTTGTATATTTATACAATCCATTGATATCATATTTCACCAACAAAATAAAGATAGATAATTGTCATAAACACAATTTGTGGTTCTATACAGATACCTGGCAGTGACCAAAATGAACTTCTCAAACTTTGTGCCTTTCATACCAGCCAAGCCGAGATCCCCACAAACAACAAGCATTGCAAATAAATACAAACTATCAAGTGCTTATTAAATTCCGAATACCTACAATTTTGTATATCTATGGAAGGTATATCAAGAATCTTCGTAGGCTCCAACACAAACTATACCATGAGCATCACAGACAAACAAAAACCGTGAAGGGTTACAAGCTATTATATGAGCGACACAGCAATATATATCGCGACCATTGTGAATCGATGCAGATGATACTCGCCCATACTCAGAACTTCTCAGACATATAAAGTACGACAGATTAGACCCTGAGTATCATGCAGGCACAAACAACTGTGAATTGACATTCACATAGACATATATGTACCCGCGGCCATAAAGATTTTCAACACATGAGCATTTACACGGAAAGCACACCTTGAGAATGACAGTACCCCGGGGCATTGTATATGCCCATATCATATATCCTGAGTTTCATCAATACACAAATATATATATCATGAGTTTGATACGCACACAAATACTTATCATGAGTGCTACAAATACACAAAACATACAACAAACCAATCGGCCGGGGTGCCCACAGACGTGTTGAGACACAGACGCTTCTCACAGGCCTTTGCGTTGTATGAGAATACAAGGTTGCGTTTCAGCGTGCCGTCGTATAGGACCTTCATTTCAGCCGAGCTGAGTATAACGTGGATTTCGTATGTGGGTTAGAGGTATGGAGTATGTATATACGGATGTAAACATGTCAGTATTGGGAAAGAGTCAAATGCATCTGCCTGATTGTTGGTGTGCATAGGTTGGATATTACAAAGATGGGGCTACAAACATAACAACAACGCTTGGAAAGCCTATCCGATAAACATCTGTGCATAGGTTCAACATTGCAAAGACGCGGCTACCAACTTAATCACGACGATTGGAAAGCCCTTAATG